AAAACACACACACACACACACACAGTTAGGGATAGTTGGGGGTGACGCTGGAGCCCCTACTCTACACTCTCTACACCAGATGCCGGAAATGGAGTACCAGAGAAACAGAGCAACAAATGAAAAGCGAGCGTCATTCTCTCCCCTAAGCTGCTCCGCAGATGTTTATTCAAGCAAATCTCCTCCTACACATTCACCTTCTCCGTGCGAAAAGTAGCCAAAAGAGAGGTGTAACCCCCTGAAAAAATGAGTCAGTAATGAGATACGGTAGAATGATGCCCATGCCCAACCTTTGTCTCTGGTGAAGCGCAAACAAGCAAAGCATTTGTACTTGCCGCAAAGCTTTGGGATACCGCACTTGCTCGTCCGTCACATGCTCAATCTGCTGTGTCAATGAGTCAAACTACACTGCCCCGAGATGGGTAGAGGGTTTGAAAAGTGCAGGGCGAGGCAAGCAGAAATCGAGAGAACCTGTCTCATGCACCAGCAGTCACTTCGTTACTTCAAGCCGTAGCAGTTGTTAGCTTCGCATGATGTCCCGTTGCAAGCCAGTCTGGACGCTCCCAAGCTGAACAGCCGATGAAGGCGTGAATTCAACGATACCTTGAGCGGGGCGGCCAAATGTAGAACTAATCACCAATGGTTCTGAAGGTATGCAGTGTCTGGGTAGTTGTCAGGCTGCATGCTTACACGATGCGATATTGTGGGCCGTTCCTCATATTATGTTGATGTTGATGCAGGCTTTCACGATACAACTTCTTGTGATTGATGCGGGTTTGCGAGAGCTCTTAGGTGAGGTGCACGGTCTTTTCCAAGGTCTGCTTGAGGATCTATGCATTGAATGTGCTGTCATTCCAGAAACATCCACATGCAATTGTTTTTCTCACCTTCCCGCCTTGACATGAGCTCAGGGTTGGAAGGGCAGGCATAGCTACTGTACAGGGGCCGGCCTGAAAAGGCAGTATCCGGGAATTCTGCGGTTGTTTGCGGTGGTAAGCTTGACGCGGGGTGGGGATGAACTTGATGATGCCTGTGTAAATCAGAATAGGGGAAGAGATGATGCAAGACATGGGCAAGGAATGGCACGTGCGCAAACAGAGGATTCTCAGGTTGTGGGGTCAGCTAATCTCAAGCGCGAAACCAGTTAGCACGGCTTTACGCTCCGAGTATCTCCAATGTCTGCTGGAGTGAACACCAGTCTGTCGGAGTGTGATTATGCCGCACATGTCCAGTGTCAAGTGCCATGAAAGTCAAGGTCCAATTCCCTGTAGCCACCATGGTTTGACGACGCTGGGCAGAGCAGGAGGACAAGTCACCATTGCCCGATCACGCGACAGCCAGTTCGCCTTCCATCTCCAAGGCGGCACTGTCGTTGCCATGCATCGCCCCAACATGAAAAACTGTGCGAGGCGGATGGTTCGTCTGGATCCACTGCACCCCAAAGTGTGCAGAAGTTGCCGCGGCCCCGGTTCGATTCGCAGTATGGCTCATTCCAGCACCGAGCTCATGCATCGGCTTCGCGTGAGCTTGTGCTAGAGAGAGGCTGGCAGCCGATTGCTTTGCGGGGTGTTGATGCCCTTTTCGGGTTTGACGACGTGTTTATTAAGAGTTCTTCCAGGGATGATGCGGTATCTGAGATCTTCGTTGCACACACTATGTCGCCTATGTGTTGCCACACCCCACCCCGCTCGTGCGACCGGCACGATCCCTGCGTAATTATATGCATCCGCATAAGACAGATTCCTCACGTCAGCGAGTGGAATCCCATCACTGAGGAGGTGCATCTCAATGCACCAGTTTGGGGTGTGCCGTCGGGTGACCGTGCCAGGAATTGACCCGGACACATGCACATCAAGGCAACTTGAACTGGTGACCGCACTCCCAAAAGCACAGACGTGATGGCTTCTGCAGCCCGTCCAACTGTCTCAACAGTTCGTCGAGGAGCTGAGTGTGCCAGGCCTGGGCCGTTTTTAATTTTTCCACTCGAGATTCAGTTCCAATCAACTACGTCAAGCCCCTTCGAATCCAAGTCCGTTCGCACGGAAGCTACTGCAATGGACACTTCAACAGCTCTGCAACGAAAACGTCGGGAAAAAATCGACCCTCTGGAAAAGCCAAACAAGGCTCGCTTATGAGCAAAGATCTCAGCCATGCGAGAGGGGAAAAGTCAAACCTGAAGGTTAAAAGCCCAAGAGTTGGAAACCCAATCGCATCAATCCTTAAGAGTAATGTATGGGGAATCCCAGCACTATTTGTCCTTTTGGTGGTTTACCATACACTTTGTGAAGTGATAGAACACCGTGTCGGCGCTGAAGTTCCCCTCCCGAGGCCGTGGCGTGCAGCAGGCTGCTGCTGTAGTTGGCACGGGACCTTGGCCTATTTTGCTGTGCAACTTCAGGCCGGAGCTCCGTCAGCAGGCTGACCCGCCGTCTGCGACATTGATATTGTAATGTCGGTGCTGCTGATCTTTGGAATTCGCAGGTTTAGCTCCGCAGGAAGCGGTGCTGCGGGCTCGGTGTTATTGAGTTTGTTTCCTGCACCTGCGTGTGTGTGTGTGTGTTGTGTGTGTATTATGCCTGCTCTTTTTGCTTTTGCAGTTTGGATCTGAGGCCCGCAGCAGCTTGGAATCAGAAATGTCAGATCTTGCAGAAGGAATGAAAGGCCGGACTGGAAGATGCACATCCTTCATCATCCTTCACGCTTTGTGAACATGTCCTGCAGTTACCAGGATGCAACTACCTACACAATTTGTGCAAAGGTGCCGCAAACACTTTCTTGAAGACCTTGCAAAAGGACAACAAGCGTTTGGAGGCCAGCTTTGCAAGGGATGCTGCGTGGGAGAAGTGCACGGAGCATCAAAGGGAGCAGCTTGAGGACATGCAATCAGCGCAACAACGAAGTCCCTCGCTTGATGCCTTTCCTGTATGGGTTCGGCTGCGGGATTTGTGTGTTTGGGTGAGTGCTGCAGCCAGTAGTGCTGCAGAGTTGCCTGGCCCGCAGTTTCCTTTCTTCAGGGGCACCCGGCAGTCGCAATAGGCTTGGATGCAAAGAGAGATATGAATGTGCTTCAGGTGCATGCTTCTTCTGATCTGAATCACGACAAGGAGCAACCCAGAACGAGAAAGGCATTGAAAATAAGTGATTTATAAGTACATGCTGTAAGGGGTGCGTTTGAGTTTGTAGCAGGAAAAAGTGCGCACACTTGGTTTCAGCATTTTCCGTGACCTGACATTAACTGCAACTTGACAGCATGCCACATTTGGGTCAGCGGCTAGCAGTGCTGACTCGATCATTGAACGCTGAGGTCTAGACAATGTTTCGTCTCATGCTGAGAAGGGCAAGAAGATGCTTCGCTCTGGGCAGCTGAGCTTTCTGTGCACCTCGCAAGACATTGGCTTGGGATTGATCATGCTGCTGCTCCTGTTGTCCGATGGTCGGTCTATTGAGTTCTCGACATGGAATTGCTTCGTGTTACCTTTAGGCACCATGCTTCTGGTCGGAATCTCCGCCCAGGACTCAGGCATCCGGTAGTAAGTCCCCGAATGTCACCATTGCACTGGCAGGTGGCAATCTTCTGCGCCATGATACCTTTCATTATTTTTACTTGATCTCGCCTAAAGAAAAACAGAGGCAGCCAATGCAACATTGCAGGTAACAGGGGTCACATGTCACATCCCGTCTGAAGCTGGCAATTGGGTGTGCGTGTCATGCTACCTGGGGCATGTTGCCTCAAGCTTTGGGTGTCGGGACAGAGACTGCATGATGCCGTCAGGCTCAACCATGCTATCCATCGCTGCTATCAGGATCGAGCCTTGAGCATAGAGATCCTGCCAAACATGGAATGCCGCTTGCTAAAGATACTTCTTGGAGCCTTTGTCGTTGAAACAAGAGGCGCCGCAAACTCTCTGAACCCGTTACTGGCTGCGAGCGACGGGGCGAACCTTGGGGAAACCGAGATTGAATCAGCAGCCGATGCATTCCGTCCACTGCGCAAAGTGGAAACTGTGACCGGTGACCAGCACAGGCTTTGGCCAAGCGAATCAGCAAGGAATATCCAGCTGCAGAATTATTCTGCCATACAGGAAGAGGGTGCCTCAGCAGCTCGTACGACCTACGTTTCTGTCTCACAGGAGTCTTGAATCGGGTTTTGCTCGTAGGCATCCTTCCGGACGATGTAGGCCCATGCTCTGCCGAGATTGCTAGTGAGTCGTGTGGAGAGGACAAAAACGCGCAGCCGCCTGCAGCAGACTCGCGACTCGGATGGATCCTGGTCACCCCACCTGTGTGGACTGGGACATGAGTTGCGGAGACTCAGGCCATGGAGCGTGAAGACCGTCGCTATACCCAGTCAGACTTGCCCGACCTGCTGCCGCGGAACTTTCCTAGAGATGCTGCTAGGCTGCAAGATCAGTGATTTCAGTCACCGGTGTCGGGTAGCCGAGACTGCATTCACACATACAGTGTCGGACCAAGAGGAAACAGGATGAGAGAGACGGACAGACAAAAAAGTGAGTAGTTAGTCTAGTCACTAGGCAGGCTAGTCTATCAGCCTATCAGAGTCCAACTGTCGAACGGAGGCGGTGATTCTTGCCGGGTCTACATCCGAGGTGTCCCAGCCAAGTGCCAGCGAGTGACCCGTGTGCCAGTCAGCTCACATGCTCGGGCTATCACAGGCGGGAGCGCCACAGCAAAGCCTTCATGTATCTTCAGATCACAGCACACAGTACTGTTTCGAGAGTGCAGGTGCTCCGGCGCTGCGAATGGCTTCGTGCAATGCCAGCCCAAGCCCGGTTCGGAAGTTATCTGCCAGACCGGGCCAAACTGCTTGCCCGAGTGTATCGGGAGCCACGTCGGCAAAGAGGGCGACGATTGCGCCCTGCAGTCTTTGACGGAATGCGAAGGTCGATACGTCCGGCGAGGGTCGCGAGCCATGCAGTGCAAAGTGAGCAGGGGTGGCAATCCAAGTGGGGCTGATATATGTGAGAACTCCTTCCTTTGTGGGACGTGAGCAGGCTGAGAATGGCACTGAGATAGCGCATGCATACCAGAAAGACCAAAACATGAAGCGCAGGTTCTGCAAGCAGTTCGAGCCGTCTGTGTGCGAGACATAAGCGACAACTCGAAGTTACAACGAGTGGTGCCGGGTTTGTTAGAGCCGTGTTGCTGCATACCGAATGCTGTAGTCACTGTAGTCCTGCCACTGCCCTTCAGCATACTCACATGCCACTGCGTGCTTCGATCTGTTGGCCATCATGCACGAGAAGTTCAATGCCACTCCAACTAAAACTGGCCTGATTGGTACAGCCTATACGGCACGCAACGACATTGAAAGCGCAGGAATTCACCCGTAGCTAGGATCCGGACCTAGGTAGCTGGACTAGGTCAGCTGGGTGGGTGGGGCAAGTACCAAGCCACTCAACCTTCAAGCGCTCTGTTCTTCATTGGTTGCCGCGCCTGTGGTGGCACGTGCTCTCATCTTTGTCTGCCTTGCTGCCTATGTGGGCCCCCGACTTGAGGCTGCTACTGTACTGGTGTGAAAATGCTTGAAACAAGCTAACTTCTGCCTGAAGGCCCTTACTTTTCTCAAAGTCAAAGACCAATTGTCAATCGCCTGAGAATCAGAGTAAGCACGCGGCGAGGTGACATGGATGTGCAGTAATACTAGTCATGCAAGCCTGTGCTGCGAGCATGGCAGCTCCGGGTTGGCATAAAACTGCCGCGTGCAGGCATGTTCCATTTCCCTTACAGCCCTTTTTTTGGCTCGAGGCGTTCTCATCACACATGGTTGTCAAGAACCTTTGGCATACCAACTTTTCTTTGTAACGTAGACACGAAGCCTGAGTCTTTTCTAAGCCACGTTGAGCTTGGATGTGTGGCCTGCAAATAAGAGGTTGCTACTGCTGATGTTGTTTGGCACAGCTACAGGGTCTAGGCTGACTTGACGGCCTTGTCGCGGTGTGTATGGATTTGGAGAGAGTTCCCGCAGCGTGTCCTGGTTTATGCTCGACCTGCTCAGCTGCAGGCCCATGTTCCTTGCTGAAGCTCCTTGATTTCGGAAAGAGACCGAAAAAAACAGTGCTGAAGTGAAGAATCACCAATACTCTGATGTTGAATACCAAATTCAAGATTTTCGCACTTGGCAGACGTGAAGCCCCGACGCACTCCCCAAGACTTGCTGTCGCATGCTTTCATTCGTTGGCTTCCCGACAGGCTAAAAAGGCTAATGACCCAATGACATGCACACAAGTACCAGGAAAGAAACTGTCTGGCCTCTCTGTCAGTCGTCAGTGTTTCGCGCTTGGCCTTTCATCCCTAGGCCCCCAGGCCTTAGGCCCGGTTCAGAGTGGACGCATCCAGCGTTGACGAGGATGAGTTCTGTAGCCGCAATTTACTGATGTCCTGTGTCTTCAACTGATACCTCGGTCCCAACGCCTCTCGAAAAGCCACAGTCAACTGGAAGCCGCGGGGCTCGAGGACTCAGACGATTACTTCGGGAAGAGAGCTTTGTCGATACTCTGCGGGTTTCGAGCTGGAGGTTAGAAGCCGTGCAGCGTGCATGCTGCAGGGCAATTGCGACCTCTTGATGTGGCTGTCGTTCTGTTTCGCTGGCTGCAGTCATGCAGATATGCACAGACAGGATCACAAGAAGGTCGAAACACAATCGCAGGCGTGTTCGTACCCGCGGGGTCACCTGGTGGAGGTGTTTTAGCTTGTCGGCTTGTTCGTTTGTCGATTGGTCTATATGTCTATCTCTTTCTGTTTGCATGTCTGTTAGACAATAATCGCACAGATCTGTCACTCATGATGCTGCTTTGCATCAAGATCTGGATGCTGCATTGTTCCTTGGCGGCCTTAGTGTATGTGTGTGTGTGTGTGTGTATTTATGCGTATATGTAAACATGCTTCATGTTAACGGAACGCTGAACTTACACTGAACCTCCAAGTGCCTTTGAATGATTCCCGTTGGGTCCAGAGCGGATTTCGGGCAAAGTGATTGGGTATGAAATAACCTTATCGTTTTCCACCTTCGACCGATATCTGAGAGACGAGATTGACCGCTTGACAATGAGAGTGACTAATGGCATCATCTGCCCAATGCTCGCTGGACAGAGGTTTACTTGCATGCTAGCTTCTATAGCTGGCACAAGTGACAAGTGAGCGCAAATGCCTGTGCAGTTGCCAGATGTGGCGACGACGATTTGATTTTCATGGCATTGCTAAGGTTCGACTTTGTTGCGGCTTGGGACATGCAGCATCACGGGCACAGCAGCATCGGCTACAAGCGGGGAGGCATATGGGGGCTGTCCTAAAACCGCTCTGTGTAAGTTTATACAAACCTCAAATCGACTATATAAAAGCATGCAAAACCCTCGCGCGCGAAAGGTACGCGAAAGCGGCGCGGAAGAGA